CCCACTTGACCTGGCTTCAATGACTGGATGATCAGAGCTCAACCAGAAGAAGAAAGAAGAGGAAAAAAAGAGTAATCTGATACAATTTGATGAACTTGACTTACACCTATGGATGCAGTGCCTCAAAACAGGTAACAAATCTTTACAGTGAGGGTCATTCCCACCCCCTCCATTCACAGAGTAGACAGGGATGGGCAACTTGGACATTGGCTACCCAAAATGAGGAGGCTACAAAGGCAAGAAGTGACTGGCTTAACAAGCTTTCAAGAGGGAACCTAGATTCAGAGGGCGTGAAGGAAGGTAGAATCTCCACTGAATAGTATCCAGTCTTTCTACGTGGGGCTGATGAAAGGAAGTGCTGATGGGTCTCTTGTGATACAGTAGTGAATAATTGTTATCAGGACTGCTTGTGAGGGTTGGAAATGTAAAAGTAGACGTTTTGTAGCAAGGAGGGGAGCAACTAACTTTTCAGTCTAGGAGCCAGAGGTCCCTGGGACCATCAAGGGAAAAGTGCAGAGAGCGGGACCCTACCCAGAGAAGCAGTGACGCCAGAGATGGAAACAGAGACGATGACGTGGAGAGATGGAGCAGCTGAGGACTTTATACCCAGAGAAGGAGAGCGACTGTGTGCTGATAACCAGGGGGCAGGCTTAATAGTGTATACCGCTTGGTTGGTTGATGATGCATGGAGGGGATTGTAACCATGGCAATGAAACAATATACGATAGGGTGAATGTAAAACTAATGTTCTCCCATGTAAACTGTCGCATAATTCACAATAAAACGTTTAAAAAAAAAAAAAGGACAGTAAATGCTGGTGAGGATGTGGAGAGATTGGAACCCTCCTACATTGTTAGTGGGATTGCAAAATGCTCCAGCCACTCTGGAAAGCAATATGGCACTTCCTCAGAAGGTTGGAAATAGAAATACCTTTTTATCCAGTAATGCCTCTACTTGGTATTTACCCACAAGAAATAATGAGCCATAGCACTAGTAGATATATGCATACCAGTGTTCATAGCAGCACTATTTATAATAGCAAAAAGATGGAGACAGCCTAAGTGTCCATCAATGGAAGACTGGATAAACAAACTGTGGTACATGAAACAATGAAATACCATGTTACCTTGAAGAACGACAAGGAAGCTACAAG